CTCTCTCTCTCTCTCTCTCTCTCTCTCTCTCTCTCTCTCCTCCCCCCCACCCTTGACCTTAATTAATGGTAGGTGGGTGACCTGACAGGTTAGGGATCAAGGACTCCAGCAGCGAGTTTTTGCTGCCGTATTCCGTATACTGCGTCGATCAACTTTTTATACCCGAACCCAACGATTGCTCTCAGTGCTGCTCGACCCGTCGCCGTCGATCCGGGAGGAAAAACGGTGGCGAGTGGCGGGGAGCGGGAGAGAGGGGGAGGTTGGAGAGAGAGAGAGGGGGGGAGGTCTCTCTGGGCGTGTCCTGGTAGACCAGCTGCCCCTGGCCCTCCTTTATTATTAATAAAAAGGACTACTTTTTTTAAAAGGACTTGCGCAGCGCGTTTCCGCCCAGAGCCGGCAGGAAGACATGGGGGGGTGGTCGAGGCCGGACGAACCGCAAAGGGAGAAAGACAGAACGACAGAATGGAATGGATAGATGGATTAAACTCCAGCTCCCACTGTCGGACCAAAACAAACGCCGCTCAAGATTTTGGGCGCCGGGCGGAGTGGCCTCAAACTGGAAGCGGCGTAGACACAAAAGGAACAAACCCAACTCCACTCACATTGCGCAACCAACAGCGGGCACGCCAGCCCCCCACCCACTCCTTCTCCCTCTTTCTCGCTCTACTTCCTTCCTCGTTCTTTCCTACCCAGTTCAACCCCTTCGAATACTAATACAACAATGTGGGTGGGTCAAACTTCCTCCCTGGTGCGTAGAATTTTACCCAGAGCAAAAAATAATAATGATGTTGATGAGAAAAAGTAAAAGAACGACGATGGGAGAAATAGAGAATGAAAATTAAAATGAACGCACAGAGTTTGGAGCAGGGCGGTGAAACAGCATACCCACAACATCAGTCACAGATAAAACCAATGAAGGGCACCCTCCAGTCCTCCAGTCGCGCATCACTGCCTGCGAATAACGCGTCACTTCTGGTGTGCGAATAATGATGCAGCGGCAAACAGATTTGCCCATGCGTACAAAACAAGCTGGTCCGCCCTTCTGCCAAACGGAGTTTGCACTGTGAAAAAAGACAACACACGGTTCCGTTTATTTTTTCCGTGATTTCCGTACCAGCTGTACCGGCTTTCCCAAAGGAGTCTATATCTGCGGGTGCGGAAAATGTTTAAAATTTGCTGATTAGAAGCTGAGCTAAATGTGCGTCTACCTTGGCCTGCGGCGCGCTAAAATTAAAATGTTTTCGCGATTTTGGTTGGCCTGCCTGTCCACCTCACAACCCACGTCTCACGCCAGGCGCCTCACTTCACGCCGTCTTCCGGGCGGTCTCCCCTTGCGCTTCCTGACAGAGCTGAGCATTTAAAGTTAAAGTTTAATTTCAAGTTCAAGTTAAGCTCAGCAATAATTCGTCACTTTCTGTTTATGTTTAGTAGACAACGGAGCCAGTTGCGGTGTGCCTTACTCATCGTCCTGCACCGCTAATGAGGGCTACAACACGGTAGGATGCTAGTTTGCCTACTCGCTCCACCCGTCAGCAGGCGACACAGCTTCTTGGATATGCAAACCTGCAACACTGCCTGCGTACCCTGACATATGGTACGCAACAAGGGGCCGCTGCAAGGTGCAGGTTCACCAAGATACGGAAGGAGGGTACTGAAGAAAACCGTATCCACCACCCCTCCCCCTTCCCACGTAAACTAATTTTATTTGAAGTTAATGTGGTACCGGTACCACATAGAGCTTTAATTTACTGCCAATATGGTAATACGGAAACGGAAACGAGATCGGTTGCATAAGCCCGCCTCTGAAACGTTTTCAAAGCAGATAACGGTGGGCTAAAAATGGGTGAATACTGCGGGTGCTTGCGTCTCTCATACTATTACACACAAAGAGCCCCCCCCCCCCCCACACACACACCAAATTAAAATGAAATTACACTCTCGCGTGCGTGCGCCCCAATGAGTGACACTAATCAGGTGTGAAAAGACCGGCAGATGACCCCCCCCCCCCCTCATCTCTCGCTCCCACGCTAACCCCCGCGGCGGGCTCGCGCGCGCTGCCGCTGCCTCTCGCTTTCAGCTTCCATGCCCGCTCATCGTGCGCATATACGAACGTAAATATGTGTGGGCCCGCGGGGCCGAGGCGGCCGGATAGGAGGGAGGCGGAGGGCGGCCCACAATAACATTAAACGCACGCGCGGGTGCGGCGGAGGGGGCGGGGGTAGAGAATCCAATCGGAATGAATAGAGTGCCGCGTGCGGCATTGATAGGGCTCGACTCAGGTGGGGAAGCGACGGGCACCGGCGTGCAACCCAGAAAATCGTTTCTTCGTGGTAAAAAATAAATGTTACTACCAGAACGGAAAATTACGACTCGGAATAAACCAAAATAAGTCAGAAGTTTGCTTCCAGGTTACGAAAAAAAGTGATTCAATAAAACGAAAGTTTTGTCAAAGTCAAGATTTCTTTGACTTAAAGACACAGGTTTCTGGGTGTCGAGCAAAAACAAAAATGTTCACAATAGATTATTAATACAACAAAAAAAAGGGCGTAAAACAGAAGTCAATTTTGTGCTTTAATTGAAATTTTGTTTTGTAACTTAAATTATCGTTCCCATTGTGGTGGGATCATCCAGAAAGTGCGTCCCTCTGTCGTTACGACATTGCCAAATCAATGCAGTGCAAGGTCTCATAGCGCCTGGTGGGTAGGCAACATCCTGTCGGTATCGCATGCGTGTTCTGCGGGATGGCCTACCCTGAGTCTCGCAGACGCCAACCTCTCGTACTTTGCCGAATGATTGAATGATTCTGAGAATTGAGAGGTACTAGCTTCCCCCGATGATCGGCAAGATGAGCACACTGTTAAAACTATGCGAAGCAATGCTTCGCAATTGCAAAGAAAATGGCTTCGTAGTTTCAAAAGACCAAAATCCTTATTAATTAAAAAGCATTGCTTCGTAGGATTTTAACAGTGTAAGTACTGTTCTCAGTTCAGTGTTAAAATCTTTCGGCGTCAACGTCGCCGAACTAACACGGCGTAGGTAACCGCGTTGCTGGTTTTAATTGTGTATGTACAATAAAGAAGACCTTAAAATCGTGTCCTCCTTACAAACCTTTCCGCCGCTGTGGGAAATCGTGGG